GCCCCCAATAGGGGCCCCCCGGGGGGCCCCCAGGGGGCCCCCGGGGACGCGCCCGCGTTGACGCGCGTCGAGTTCTTGGCTGCCTTTGCTCGCTGCTGGGGCGTCACAGGTGGGGGCTCTGGCTGCTGCTGCTGCTACTGCAACAGCAGCAGCAGCAGCAACAGCAGCAGCAGCAGCGGCAGCAGCAGCGGCAGCAGCAGCGGCAGCGGCTCGCCGGCGCCCCCTGCTGCAAAGCCGCACGGCGAAACAGCAGCAGCAGCACAAGCAACAGCAGCAACAGCAGCAGCAGATGGGGCCTCCCAGGGGCCAGAAAGTGTTTGTTGTGGGGAGGGTGGAGATTTATTTTCCGACTCTTTTTTTATTTCGGGATTTACGGAGGACAGACACTGGAAAGATGTCCGGCTTTGGAGCGAAGGAGATCTTCGTGTCTTCGGTGAGACTCTGGGGGCATTTTGTGAGCAGCAGCAGCAGCAGCAGCAGCTGCTGCTGCTGCTGCTGCTACTGCTGCCCTGCTGCGGCTGCGGCTGCTGCTGCTGCTGCTTTCGCGGGGCTCGCCGCGGCGTCTGCTGGGGTGTATGCGTGTGCAGTGATGATTTATGTTTTTCTTTTAATTTTTAATTCATTTTAAAAACTCTTAATTTATTTTTAATTTCAATGAAACGTTGAACTGTCTTCTTCGCAGGAGTTTCTGTCGACGAGACCTTAAAAGCAATTCAAGAGGCCGACAGATTTCCAGTTCGCCAAATGCTGGAGGTGCGCCAAATTCGCTTTGCTGCTGCTGCTGCCTCCGGCCTGCTGCTCCTGTGTCTCTCTGCAGCTCAGCCAGCCAGGGTTTAGGGTTTAGGGTTTAGGGTTTAGGTTCTAGGGCCCGGGGTTTACAGTTTGGGGTTTAGGACTTAGGGTTTAGGGTTTGGGATTGAGGCTCTAGGATATAGGGTTTAGGGTGTGGGGTTTAAGAGCTGCTGCATTTGAAAGTGTGTTGTGATTTCTTGTTGTTGCTGCTGCTGCTGCTGCTGCTGCTGCTGCAGGTGCGGCCTCCGTCTTTGCAGCGAAGGCACTGCCACTTCCTTTACCAGCGACTCAGGTGTACAAACACCTCAAGCATCTTTTGCAGCTTTCAGTTGGGGGAACTTGTCACAAGAGAAAATTTTGGATTTCGGACTTTTGTTGCACTCTTGTGGTCTTTTGGAAGTTTTTTTTTGTTCATTTCGTTTCCCTTTTTTCTGCCTTTTCTGGTCAATTCCTTTCCTCTTTTTCTGTCTTTTCTATCTACCTTTTTTCCATCATTTTCTTTTTTATTTTCATCTCTTTTCCTAATTTTCTCTTTTGCTTCAGAGTTCGACTTTTCAAGTCCTTGCTGGCGCAGCTGCCAAAGAGCAGACAGCGCCTCATGGAGGAAGCAGCAAAGGACGTGCCCCCTTTGCTGCGGCCAGAGGTCTGTACACAGTGTGCTGCTGCTGCTGTTGCTGCTGCTGTTGCTTCTGCTGTTGCTGTTGCTGTTGACAGTATTCTTGCTGTGTTGCTGCTGCTGCTGTTGGCAGTGTCCTCGGTGCTGCTGCTGGCGTGCTGGCTGCTGCTGCGGGCATCCCACTTCTGCTGCCACACCCGCTGCTGCTGCTGCTGCTGCTGCTGCTGCTGCTTGTTGCTGTGTGGGTGCCAGATTTGGGCCGCGGTGCTGGGAGTCAATTATGTCGGAGTGCTGCACACCACTCGGGCTGCCTACGAAGAGGCCACTGCTGCTTTAGGGCAGGGGGCCCTCGAGGCTCTGCACACGAGCGAGTTCTCGCAGTACCATGAGGTGCAGTAATCTGCTGCTGCTGCTGCTGCTGCACTTCTGCTGCTGCTGCTGCTGCTACGTTTCTGCTGCTGCTGCTGCGTTTCTGCTGCATTTCTGCTTCTGCATTTCTGCTGCTGCATTTCTGCTGCTGCTGCTGCGTTTCCGCTGCCGCTGCTGCTGCACTTCTGCTGCTGCTGCTGCTGCTGCTGCGGGAGTTCGTGGGGCGGTGCGCAGCTGCGGGGTGTATGTACAGTACCACGACCTGGTGGGCAGCAGAGAAGGGCGGCGGCGGCTGGCGAGTCTGGTGGGAGTGGCGCTGCAGCGGAACTCAAGTTATGTGTCAGTGCGGGGGCTGGACGCTCTTGCTGCTCCTTTGCTGCTGCTGTTCTACGAGCAGCAGCACGTGGCGCTGAGCTGCCTCGAGAAGCTGCTGCAGGACTTCCAGCAGCACCTGTTTGCTGCAGACAGCGCCTGCTTCCTCCGCCGCCAACTCGCAACTTCCAACAGACTTCTCTTCTTCCTCGACCCTGCCCTCGCGCTGCACATCAACAGAATCGGTAAACGCTGCTGCTGCTGCTGCTGCTGCTGCTGCGGGTGGGCGGGGCGGGGCGGAGCAGCAAAGGGCAGAGAGCAGCAGCAAAGTTCAGAAGACCCGCAAAGGCCTTTTGCTGCTGCAGGACTGCACTCGGACATGTACGCGCTGTCGTGGCACCTGACGCTCTTCTCCCACGTGCTGCCGCTGCAGCAGCTGCTGCTGCTGTGGGACACTCTGCTGCTGCAGCCGCCGAGCTTCGTGCACTTCCTCACAGTCTGCGTCTTGCACTTCTTGAGGACTCCTCTCCTCAGCTTCTCCCCCGGCGAAGAGTCCACGGCCATTCGTTTGCTGCAGTCTTGTTTTGAATTCGTTAATGTCCCGGCCCTCTGTGCTGCAGCAGTGGCTCTGCAGAACGCTGTGCCTTGGTCCTTGACTCTTCTGCCCGTTCCCCCCCACGCCGCCGACGCAGCAGCAGCAGCAGCAGCAGCAGCTGCTGCTGCTGCTGGAGCTGCTGCTGCTGGCGTTTCGGAGGCAGCCGCTGCTGCTGCGCCGCCGCGCGGAGGAGCTGCGCGGCTCCCGCCGGAAGCAGCAGCAGCTAATGGGGCAGCAGAGGAAAGGCCCGAGGGGGACGCTGCTGCAGGAGGTGTACGTACAGCTGGTGGTCCCGGGAAAGATGCAAAAGGAATGCAACTGGCGGCAGAGGCGCAGCAGTTCTTCATTGGAGATGGAGCGCAGAGCCAGGGGCAGCAGAGTGAGGCGTTTCTGCAGCAAAAAGACGAGTGCAGCACATCTCCAGACTCCTCGAGAAGCCTCGCAGCAGCTGCCAGCAGCAGCGCGAAGAGCGAAGAAGCGGAAAGCGCGAGAAAAAGAACAAATTGGAAAACAAAAGCCCTCATGCGAGTCGTCACGGGCCCCGCCCTCATCCTCCTGGGGCCTCCTCGAAAGCCCGCTGCAGCCAAAGCTGCACAGGCTAAGTCTGGAGGCGAAGACGCGCAGTGAGGAACTTCAGGCCACAGAGTGCTGCTGCTCTTCTTCTCTGGGAATATCCCGAGGACTTTCAATTTATTTCCATTTTGTTTTATAAAATTCCATAATTCGTTCATCTGCAAAGGCTGCTGCAGAACTACCGACGCCACAGCTTCTGCTAGCCACTGACACTCCAAAATGATGCCTGTGTCCATCCAGTGTCTTGCACTTCACTTGCACTTTCTTCAAATATAATACATATTTATTTACCGACATTTACTGACATTTACTAATATAATATTCGTACTGCGTCGTTCCGTCTTTGCGTGTAGCTGCACGGACCCGATGGACGCCCTTTACTCCAGCGAGCCGCTGGCGCCGCGCTGGTGGGAGAAAATGAGCGAAAAAGAATACTTAGAAATGACTTCTCCGTCTTGGAGTGGAGGAGCTGCAGCTGCGGGGCTGGAGGGCCTCAGCAGTGGGGAGGACCTCGCGCTGCAGCCGCCGTGCATAGGCGTGGACGTGCTGCTGCAGTTCTGCGAGGAGAGCGTGGTGCTGGACGTTCGCGCCCGCGGGGTCTTCGACGCATTTCACTTCAACTCCGCAGTCCACGTTGCCCCCAAAGACGCCAGCGAGCTCACTGGCCTTTTGAAAGAAGGCCAGCTGACCCTCCCCGACCCCAGGGGCGTTTTGCTGCAGATCCAGAAGCTCGGCAGCAGCAGGCCGCTGATCGGCAAGGCGGGCCGCGCTGCAGCAGCAGCGAGCCTGGAGGCCGCCGAGGGGGCAGCGGAAGCTGCAGCAGCAGCAGCAGGGCCCGCAGCTCCCGACCCGCAAGAACCTGCAGCAGCAAAAGGAGCCCAGGGGGCCCCCCCAGCTCCCCGAAAGCCCTGGATCTCGCCCACAATGAGCCGCCTGCCTCTTATTGTTGTTATGGGAGACAAAGAAGACACTGGAGCTGGCCTGGCCCGCCGGCTGCTCGCTGCTGGGGTGTCTTGCGTTTGCGTCTTGCTGGGGGGTATTGACGCAGTGCAGCTCGACGCCCCAAATCATTTCCTCACCCGAAAACACCAAACCTAATTTTTTTTAATCAAATAAATTGCATTTTGTCACTTTTTAGCTTCTGATCTGCACAAAGGAGCTGCTTCCTCGTTGCCAGCCAACGAGCCAGGCTGTGGGCTGTCAGGGCAAGAGTGGGGCGGGGAACAAAAGGCTCCAGCTACTTTATGTAGTTTCAAAAGTTCATTTTCGCATGAGTAACTTTTCGCAATTAAGTTGGGGTAATCAGGACACAAAGTGCTCACCCCAGTTGCACATTTGCACATGAGCACAAGGGCCGTCTAAGACGCAAATAGGGCTCATCGAGCGGATTCTGAGGGATGATCTGCAAGGAATAATTCAACTTAATCTGCAGATATATCTTCAACTTAATTTGCAAGTGCCGGTTCAGCTTAATCTGCAAGTATTGATTCAACTTAATTCGCAAATACTAGTTCAACTTAATCTGCAAATACTTCCCTGTGGCCTTGCAGCTTCGCGCCCTTGGAAAATTCAGCTTCATACATGACATCCATTTCCTATAGTTTAAGCTCATGCAAACTCCACTTGTCTTCATCAATTTGGGGAACATTCCTAAAATAAGTTTTTATTTATTGATGCTGGCGCTGCACTGGAAAATTCGCCCTCTAGCAACTCTGTTCAAATTCATGTCAGCTGCAAATTGCGTAGAGCCGAGGCAGCTTTCGAGATGTTCCTTGAAAAATAAAAGCTATATGCCTTTGTGCATGCCTTTGTGCATGCACTTTCAAAAAATACAAGTTTTATTCCGTTGTGCATGTGATTTGAAGAAAATATTACGATATAAGATAAAACAGACGAAAAGTAATCGCGACTGGCCGCACTGACGCCACTCCACGTAATGATTGTTTTTTGCTTTTTGCACTTCTCAATTCTTGAGTTTTCGCGGCTTGCAATGTTGGGATGGGAAACTCTGAAAAATTAAGGACATGTAGAAGTCACATATGAGGCTAAAGTCTCTAGAAGCAGGAAGCTGCAAGGGCGCACAATGAAGGACTTGCAAATTTACTTGAACTCTGCTTTGCAGATTATCACTCTCCATTCAGCTGGCCTTGAGGCTTCAAAGCCACATTAGTGTATTCTCTGCAGAACATGAACCTGTTCAGCCTTGTCCTAACGGACTATTTCAATTCGCTTGTTCTTTCACCATCATTAAAGAAAGCTGCAAAGTACCAAGAAAGGATGAGACAACAGTAAGAACCTGGAGCCTTCCTGGGCCAACAGGAAACACTTTATTGCACCGTTTAGCTAATATTTGAAAAACAATACTTGTTCACGGCTAATTGCGAGCACTTCGAGCTCGATTCCGTGCCGCATTTTCGCCAAACGCGGGGCTTTCTGTAGATGGCAAACAATTCACATTTTGAGCCATTAAAGAATTCATGATGTAAAATTATGCATTACATATGCAGCAGAATAGAAGCTGCGCAACGCGAGATGCGCCTGTAGAATGGAGGTAATTTGGCAAAATTCAAGTTTTCCCAGAAAGAGTTGCAAATGACTCTGTCCAAAATTGTTGAGTCTTTTGGCATATACGTTGCCCCTATGCAACACTATTCTATCATTAACAATTTGAAATGATAGCATTCTATTCAAAAGACTCGGCCCGCCAATTAATGCGGAATATTCTCTAAACGCTGCAGTCAACTCCAGGCCATCACAGGCTCACGTATCGCGAAGCTGCAGCGAGTGCTGCGGCAGGCAGCAGCAGCAGCTTCTGCTGACTATGGCTAGCTTTACCTCTTTGTAAAGCATTTGAATAACTCCAGCTTGCTGCTGTTGTGCTGTGGACCTGTGCTAAGTTAGAATGTATCAGCACGGCAAAGCAAAGCCCCCCATCAGAAGGCTGACTGGCTTTGCCCGGCGCTGAACACATATGTAGGGTTTCTACATCTCTTGCCATACTAAACCGCTTGTTTACACCTCATCTAGCGGTAAAATCAGAGCAAAGACACGCAGAGATAACTGCACGGTCCTGGGAATTTGCACAGGGCTTTGGGAGGCGAAGGAAATCGAAGTACACAAGAATGCGAAAGTGCTGGAAGATGAATAGATGCTCGCGAAAAAAATATATTGAAATTTAATTCTTGGTTGCATTTGCTGTAAGGCTCATGCTCTCCCTCATTATCAACAGGTCAGCTATGCATAGCCAGTAGCCCCTCGCTACCACTACGTGGTGCCTATAACAGAGAGGAGAAATGCGTCAGCTAACCATACTTCTGCCCTGACTTGTTCCACATTAAAGCACTAAATCCAAATTGCAAAATACAAGAGTAATAGATGGACAGATATCCACTTCTTTGAGTGTTTATGTGGGGAACCGCATGCGCATCTGGCCGCCATTAGACATGGGCGCCAATTTACAAGGTGCGCGCTCTACCTGAGAAAATGAACTAAAGCGCGTGTTGGCTTCATCATTTACATTGGCATTTATTTCAAGCTCCTTGCTGCTAGGGGCTCAAAGCGTACCTCCGACTCTTCCAATTCAAGTTGCGCAGGGGCAGGCAGTTCAGCAACAAGAAAGCAGGGGCTCTTGAACGTATTCCGAAGCAGACTTAGCAAGTCAACAGTGCTTCTTTTCAAAGGATTGAGTAGATACTGGCTTAATCCTATTGTAGGCTGTATGCAAGACATTGGGTGGGCGGAGGTATCGCCTCGTCGCGGGAGATCTTCGAAGTCAGGCCGTTGTGAACCGGTTGAATCCATTAGTACCGAGACGGAGTTAAGCAGAAACGAGTATTCGAATTTCTCGGCGAAAACCAGGCTATAACGTGGGCCTAGGTAGCTCCTAACTGCCTTCTTGGGTTGTAGTTTCTAACCAGACATTCACGATGGCGGAGCATCTGGCTAGGATCATTGGGACGGAGGAGGACAGAGTCAACTGCCCTTTCTACTGGAAGATCGGGGCATGCCGTCACGGCGATCAGTGCTCACGGTCGCACTACAAGCCTTCTTCATCACCAACTATTGTTCTTCGCCACATGTACCCGAACCCTCCCGTGGCAATAGCGATTGCTGAAGGCCAAAATGGTGAGCGCATGAATTGGTGGTACTACACCTTTTTGCGTCCTTAAAACGTGCAATGAGGCATTTTATGAGCCTGAGAGCCTCTAGCGTGTCAGTTGGTACGACTGTATCTAGATTGGACTAGTGGACGCTTCTTGAAATTATTCAAGGACGTGGCTGTCAGCGTCGTGTCAGTCTAGTGCTTTTGTGGACTTTGCAAGGCATTTTTGTGTCTGATTTGCATTTTGCGTGTTTAGTCTCTGACGAGCTTCTAGACGAAGCTGCAGATCACTTCGAGGCATTCTTTTCCGAAGTCTTTGAGGAACTGTACAAGTATGGCGAGGTGGAGGACATGGTTGTTTGCGACAACATTGGAGACCACATCATTGGAAACGTATATGTGAAATATTCAGACGATGACGCCGCGAAGAAGGCGCTTTCCGCCCTTCAAGGCCGGTATTACGCGGGTGCGTGCTAAACAGCTATCGCCGCTTTTCTGTTTTCAGGCGTTCTGGCGTAGGCCGCTGTTGCTGCCATTAACAGCGCAGCGTAGTGGACTGTTGTGACGCATGCCGTTTCTTTGTGTTTTGTTTTACTGCAGGGAAACCTATTCAAGCAGAATTCACTCCCGTTACCGATTTCAGGGAAGCCCGGTGCCGTCAGTTCGTTGATGGCCAGTGTCGCCGTGGTGGCTATTGCAACTTCATGCACCTCAAGCATGTTCCCCGCTCTCTGAAGCGGAAACTGTTCAACAAAATGTATGAGGAGCACCCCGAATATAGACAGAGGGTGCGGGGAGGACGAAGGTCAAGGTCGCGATCTGGCTCTCCGCACAAACACAGGCGGTGAGTTCATTGGCAGTCAGCCCACTTCGGCAGAAGCTTTCTTGGAGTGCGTGCTACGGGGCTGATCTTTAGTGATGAACATAATGCTAGTTGTGCATGTAATGCGCAGTTCACCAAGCCTTCACCGCCCTGAACGGCCTGAGAGAAGAACGAGTGAAGAACGACGGGCGATGATCGCCCAGTGGAACCAAGAGCGGGACGCTGCACAAAGTTGAACTCGACTGCAACCCTTTGTTTCCGACGTGTTCTGGCGGAGCTTTCTGCAAACCGAACTAATGTTTTGAACTGGGAATTCGTTGCGAGAATGTTGATAATGGGAACTATTAACACTGAGATAGCTGAGGCGGCGGACGGACAGTTCCCCTTTCGTTCAGCGGGGAGCTCATTGAACGCATTTGTGAGGGCGCAAATTTTACACCTGGGAGTGTAGAAGTACGTTGTCTGTAAAGACTTCATGATTTGGATGTTCCTCTACTTTTTTGTGTCATTGAGGCGAAAAATTCATCTTGCATTAAGCGCAATATGTAGGGCCTCGTGACAATTTTGTGCCACATGCAGGGCAAAAACCGACGAATAAATTCCTGTTTTCACGGCAATTTATTCATAGATGCGCCGTGAATTACTGTCTGCGGATACAGGAATTCTTGCAGACGCATCACTTTTGCGGATTCCCAGGGCAGTAGCCGTTGGAACTTTGCTTTCAAAAGTTCTTGTGCGGTGTCGTTTCGGTAGTTATGAGACTTCGCTTTAAAACAGTATTTGGCCGGTACTTGGCCAGTTTTTTCATCACTAAAGTAGTGGAGAACGAAAAAGCTTCGAAAACTATAAATAGTGACGAAGCAGAGTGGTGGGAGCAGGTGCCCGCTGGGCAGTACATACACTTCAAACTGTAGCCGCATGCCGTCGCGCCTACTGTCGTCAAAGATAAATTTGATACGACATGACGCGGCTAGTGTCGCGGTGTGTACTTTTTTTGAATCCATCCCAACTGCCACTCGTGCAGTGAGGTTCGGAATTCCCCGATAGAATTGCCGATTTCGACATTCCTGTATCGAAGATGTTCCAAAGTATCCTGAGGTCGCTCAGCGGCTCTTTCGCCGATCTGGGTAAATGGGAGCCCACGGCCGACCGTTCGGAGGTGGCACTTCGCAGTGGACTTGAGAAGTCCCTTCTTTTTGTCCTGTGCTCATCCGCGATCATGGGCATATCCGCGATGACCCTGGTGAGCCTATACATATTTTGACGCCTTAAATCTTGTACTCATTCGCCTCTTCAGGGCATCAGCCAACAGCCAATATACTGTGACCGAGGACTGGCGTTCTGGAATGGCCTCTTGGGAGGTATGACGCTTGCGTGAACACCCACCGCCTGTGCTTCGACTTCAATGACTTCGTCACACAGCCATTCTGTTGACCTTGGCTGCCGCCTGCTCTGCTGCCTTGTTCTTCGAAACACAAGCCGTCAAATGTAAGAAACGCACACTCCCAAGAAAAAAGTAACCTCTACGCAAGACTTCCGCTTCAGTGATGGCCAAGCTCATCTGGACGAACTGTGAATCAAGCTTCTTCGAGTTTGGATCCACCGCTTTCAACGTCGCAGCCTGCGTTGCAGCCTGGTATGCTTGTCACTCTCCATCTCTTGAAATCTAGACGATATATATCGCGCTCTCTCAGCCCGATAGTTGCACTGTTGTGGATCATGCGTGGTAAGTGTGAACGCCCATACGTCTACACAGACGGCCTCCGTGCATCTCTTTTTCTTAGGATATGTTGACCTTACGTCCTCCCCTACTTGCCGCAACACTGCTGCTCTTCTCTACGGTGGAAGTCTGACCAACATTGCGCTGTAAGTTGGTTCTTAAAGACTGTGAACTTCATTAAAGCAATGACTGCTTTCCTTAGGACTGTCAGTGCGCTGTCCTTCGCGGCTTTGATGATCAGCTACTACGTTGCCTCATCAAAGCGCTTCTACGATATTGCCATTCTATCGTGCATCTGCGACCCGATTTCGATCGTAAGCTATATCTAGCCTTTCAAATCCACTTTGCAAGAACACTTTGCAAAAATCGTCTTTAGGCTGTGGAGGGCGTTGCTGAACGCCTGCCGGAGCCGCCAAGAATTCGATTCCCCGAATTCGTTCCTTCCCTCGACGAATGCGTGGCAAAGCTGCCCTCATACGAGAATACAAGAGCTTTTGTTAAGAGAATCGTCGACGCTATCACCCCCGTCTCCCTTCCCCACAGAGTCTATTCTCTCATGGAAACACGGGTCTACTAAATGCCGCCCGGCTGATTACATCAGTGTTGAACTCAGTGTCAAATCAAGTGGTCATATTGGCCTTGCTTTTGGAATGCAGTTCAAACACGCGTTGATGTATCAAGAATGTCACGTTGCTAAACCTAAGCAGCCAGCCACTGGGCAATGTAGAACTGCCATGGTTTACTCCTGTTTCCAATAGCCGACCTTAGTTGCATAGTTTCCATATTGAATGGAGTCAGGTTAAATGTGCAATGCAGCACATAGAAAGCTGTTGCTGCATCGCAGTCGATGCCCTGAGAGCACACCAACAAGCAGCCGAAAACGTTCAGTCTACTGATATTCGTCAGCGCATGCCTTGTTACGGCGAAGCACATTATCCTCCACAGCACAAGGCGAGTCGTCACAATAACATGGAATATGCTAGAATCTGAATTCGAATTTACGTACACCTGCTTACATACAACGTGGATACCAATGTTTTCAAATTGTGGAACTTTGCATACAGTGGAACAAGACCCATGAATGCACCCAGCAGTCTGCTGAATGAAGTTTGGAGAGAATATATATAGGACACACAGCGGGTCTCACCTTGACAAAAAACTGTTCAGAGTTTGTATGTACTCGTGTGGGGTATACGAAGATGGGAACAACTGCGTTAGATACCCTTGAGCATGTGACGGGTAAGATTCAGAAGAAGCACTGAGTAACAGATCGTAAAAAAGTGCGAATGGTTTCTGTTTTGATATCACGCCTGTGGTAGGTGATGGCATGGCGGTCAAGAAGTCGTCGGCTTCGTTGATAATTCCAAGGGGCGGGCCATTCCCTGCTTTAGAGTTGGATGATCCACTCAGCGAACACCTGTTCATGAACGATAAATATTGTACAATCTCTATTTGCTTTTGAACTCCCTTTGGCGGCAGTATCTGCTCAGGCACAACAGGACAAAGAAATGGATGATCGTTTGTTAAAAGCGCATGATAAACGTAGCAAAAATTACATACGAATAGTGCCTATGTGCATTCTTCCCTACAGTGTCACGGAATCTTCTGGCGAGAATCATCGCTTTGTTCAAATTGCCATTGAAGCATAGTTGGAGTACGAGACTTTGTTGCAGTCGTTTCCTTAAGGATCTCACGAACGGTGAGAGGTACGCCATGACCTGAAGCATGAATACTTCGTTCTCCTTTAGAGAATCTTTGAGATTGCTTTTATGTTCAGAATTAGCGTTAAACGCCGCTGCACCTCGAGACCACCACTTAAGTAAGAAGCACTGAAAGTGCTTAAGCCAACGAGTGGACGTATATTCGTCCGAAACGGAGCGTTCATGGCTTGTCAAGCAGTTTACGTGGAACTCGCGACAAGGGTCATCCTCCCACATGTCTTCCTCTAAAAGCTCCAGAATAAACGGGAAATACGAAGTGGCGGCAAAACAATAGGCATTTCCAGTCAGCAGCAGCAGGCTTGCAATTGCAAACGCGTGTGCGAGCTGGAGCACGTCAGGGAAAACTGGGCCGCCGTTAGATACAGCTGCATCTGAAAACAGCTGTTGCAATTCACGGAGACCGGAAACACTACAGATGCCTTGCCTGCTGCACACCTCGCCATTTTCTAGTGCTTCTAAAAGGCTGTGGACAGCTTCCTGATGAAGCTTGGGATCTCCTGTCATGAGCAGGATGCAAGGTGAGGAGTGGCCTTTCCACAGTAAGTGAGCCTGCATGCGTGTCCACAGCCCACAGCAAAAAGAAAACACATAAGCAGTCTACCAATACAGCAAACTTAAGCTGCGCAGTTGCGGGAAATCCCCAGTGCTTACATCGTCAGCAACATGCTGCCCCGCGAGCAGCCGAAGGATTATGAACTCCTCGGCGCTGCCAGCAGCACCGACTAATGCGTGCCACGCTTCTTGTTCCTCCGTAGACCACTGCTTAGACTGGGAAAGCGGGGTTGCTCGTGCTTCCCGAGGCAGCTGCAGAATAGTGCTGGTCCACGCGGGGCTCCAGAGCCCCGACTGGCCGCCTCCCGAAGCACTTTGCTTCTGCTTCGGGCTGCTGCTGCGCCACAAAAGAAGAGCAGCGCACCGCATGCGTACTGACACGCTGGCAGCCGTGAAGGGCTTCTCCGGATTTGCAAGCTGTCTGACCACTGCGAAGATGAACTCAGTGCTTCGATCTTCTCCGATCTTCGCCACTGAGTCACTCCTGCAGTTGTAAAGAACATTTTTGCACATTGGCCCTTCGAATTCACTGGGGAACATCGCCTGGACCAGCAGCTTCCCGAGGCTCCTTTGCTGCACCTCCAGAAGGGCAGTTAGGCTATCGACGCTGTCTGCTGCGAGAGCCTCCATGGCCTTCCGCTCTGCTGCTTCAAGAATCTCGAGATTGCTGCGCAGCGCCGAAGTTTGCTGCAGTAGAACTCGCAAGAGTCCGATGTTTCCCACAGCTTCCTGTGGCCCTTTCGAAAGGCCGCAGCAGCGCTGGTCTTCAGAAGCCACCAAGCTTCTGGTGATTTGCTGCAGCACGTAAAACGTAAAAGCGAAGGTCTCGCAGGGGCTTTTGAGGGGCACACAGCCAACTCGCTGCAGCAGCTTCTCCAGGGCTTTCTCTGCGACCCCGCCACGCGGCTCTGCCGCAGGGCTGCTGCTTTGCTGCTCCTCCTGAGAAGCAGCAGCGGAGAGACTCCGGCGCAGCCATGTCAGAAAGCCCTCGGAAAGCAGCGACGCCAAGTCCTGCAGGACAGCGGCACGCCCAGCAGAAGCTCCTGCTGCTGCTGCTCCTGCTGCTGCTGCTGCTGGTGGATCTGCTGCTTCCCGCGGGCGCGACAGCACGTGCCGGCAAGCGAGCCTCCAGAAGGCGCCGCTGAAGGCCTCGTAAGCTGAAGCCTCTGCTGTCGTCAGCAGCTCCGCTGCGGCCTCCGCCAAAGGCCGTCCGGGCGAAAAGATTGAACAGGGAGTGGCAAGGCGCTGCTCCCAGGAAGCTGCAAAGGGCAGAATGGCAGCAAGCTGCTGCAGCAGGCCCTGCAGCCTCTGCGCAGCTTCACGGTTCTCGCTGAGACCCGCTGCGTCGGCCGCTTCACAGGCCCGCTGCTGCTGCTGCTGCTGCTGCTCCTGCAGCTGATGCCGCATGCGCAGCACAAGAAGAAGTTGAATTGAGGCCCCCAGGGGCCTGAAGCGCTCGAGGAGCTGCTCCCACTCCTTCGTGGGCACGTGCTGCAGCAGCAGCGAGACAGTGTCATTTGCTGCTGCTGCTTCTGTGCTGCTCCGGGAAGCCGACTGGGCTGCCGGCTGCGTAGAGCCGTGCTGCGTGTCCTGAACTTGAGTTTCTTTACCCAGAACTTCTGTATTTAGTGCTTCTTTGCTTTTTAATTCGCCATTTAGCGTGGATTCTTGGGATCCTCGCTGCTTCTGGCTGGCTGCGAGCTGCACCTCCCACTCCTCCAGCACATCCAGCGCAGCAGAGTCTGTCAGTACTTTCGTTCTCTTCAATTCTTTTTCCAAAACTGAAATGCAGCAAAGATAAGCTGAAGTGCGCCGCCTCAGACTCTCCACGCGCTGCCGCAGGGCCAGCGCGAGCCCGATGCTGCTGCTGTCAGCAGCAGCAGCAAAACTCGCAGCAAACGGGTCGCCTGTCGTGGAAGCCGCGGGGGCCACAGCTCCGTCGCTTTCCCTTTGTTCTGTGTCTGTCGAGGGGCCTTGCTGCAGCAGCAGCTCCTGCTGCTGCTGCTGTTCCTTGTGCGCGTCGGAGAACAAAGCAGGAGGAGGCAGCAGCAAAGCTGCAACATTCAGCGAAGGCATGCAGCAGTGCAAAGCCCCGATTGTTTCTTCATCCCCTAGCGCACCCAGGCCCCCTGTATATGCAATTAGACGAGCAACACAAAGCATCTGTTCCTCCGTGAAGCCACCTTCTGCTGCTGCTGCCGCTGCTCCTGCTGCTGCTGCTGCTGCTGGGGCTGCTGCTGCCGGGGCTGCCGCCGCCGCTGCGGACTCTGCTGCTGCGCGGACAGCGCGGCGGACAGCAGGCAGCACCAGGGAGGCCGGTTCGCACTGGAGAGAAGCAACGCAGCAGGCGAAGAGGTTTCTCACTAAAAGGATTCTTTTTTGAAACTCATTAAAGGAAAGTCTGCAGCAAGGAAGAGGGGGGCTGGCCAGGGAGTGGCTGTGCCGCGTTGCTGCGGCCACTGCTGCTGCTGCTGCGGCGTCGGCGGCGGCTCCCGCTGCTCTCGCTGCAGCAGCAGCAGCAGCAGCAGCAGTAACGGGCTCGCTCTGCCCTTGAGCTGTGAGGCGACACAGCTGCAGCACAACAGCAGGGTGGAAGAGAGAAGGCTCTCCGGGGCAGTTGGACTGCAGCAAAGCAGCAAGAGAGTCCACAAGCAGCAGCCCGAAGGGCGCTGGGGCTGCGCGCAGCAGGAGCGAGACTGAAGCGGAAACATCAGCAGCAACTGCTGCACTCAGCGGGGCAGAGCTCAGCAGCAGTACTTGCTTCGCATGCTCTAGCCGCAGGCTGAGGCCTTCCCCCGCCAGCCCCTCTTCTCCCAAAAGAAGGTGCTGCTGCTGCTGCTGCTGCTGTTTCTGCTGCTTCTGAATACGGACCAGCTGCGGCTCTTCTGGGCAGCTGCTTCCCGCCGCTGTCTCTTCCAGCGACGCCGCAGCAGCAAGCTGGGACAGCCTTTGCTCCTGCTGCTGCTGCTGCTGCTGCTGCTGTTGCTGCTGCTGCTGAGTAGGATGCTTTGTGTTGGCTGAAGTCCCTTTGTTTTCGTCTATGAAGGTTTGGGGGTCCAAATGACACGGAGTGGCCTGCTGTGGATCTTCGCCTGTTTCCACCGCGGGCTGCTGCTGCTGTTTCTGCTGCTGCGTCTGCTGCTGCTTCTGCTGCTGCCCCTTGTGTGTCCGCTGTTGCTGCTGCTGCGCGTCTCCAGGAGGCGCAGCAGACATAGGAGAAACAGTTGTGCTGCTGCAGCGCGACAGCAGCCCCTTTTTGGGCTGCAGAGGCGGCAGAGTCCTTAGCAGCTCGTTGAGAGGCTCAGCAGCAGCCATTGCTGCTGCTGCAGCGTCAATCAAAGAGGAGTCAGCAGCACCAATCTGCAGCAGCACTTCTCTTCTGTACACACTGTCTCCCACAAGGCGGGACCCGAGCAGCACCGGCTGGCTGCTGCTGCTGCTGCTGCTGGCAGCTTGCTGCTGCGGCACTCTCCTGAGGAACCTCAGCAGCAGCAGCAGCGCTGTCGCCAGTCGGTCGAGGGGCGAACTCTGCGGGGCTGACAGCAGCAAGAGAGGCAGCACCTCCAGCAGCAGCAGGTGCTGCAGGACTAAACAGAGGTCTGCTGCTGTCAAGTCCGCTGCCTGCAGCAGCTGCGCGCACAAACCGGGGAAGCACGGGGCCAGCAGCAGCCCATCTTCAGCCTTCTCTGTAGCAGCTGCAGCAGCAGCAGCAACTGATGCAGCAGCAGCAGCAGGCACCGGCGCTGCTGCTGCTGCCCCCACCGCCGCCAGCAGCAGCACAGCCACCCCCAAGTCCCGCTGCAGCATCAGCGCCCACTCGCCCCGCGTGGCCGGTGCTGCTGCTGCTAATGCCCAGCTTTGTGGCTGCAGCAAAAGGGCTTTGGGGGCCCCCAGAGAAGGCGAAAAAGCAGCAGCAATCAAATCTCCTTTGCTGCTGCCCTCCTCCACTTCTCGCAGCACTGCCCACTCCCGCAAGGCTGCTGCAACAGACTTGACGCGTGCTGCTTCCTGTGCGTCCAGAGAGGCAGTCACGCCGTGATGCTGCTGCTGCTTCTGCTGCTGCGTTTGAGGAGCCGCAGCAGCCTCTGCTGCAACAGCAGCACCATAGAGAAGCTTCGCGCTAGCAGCTGCAGACGCTACAGCGTCTCCTGCTGCTTCAAAAGCAGAAACAAACAAAAAGGAAGGAGGCCCTCGAGAAGCACCTGCTGCTGCTTTTGTTGCTGCTGCTGCTGCGGCTTCCCCGGGCTCCTCAGAGCCTAAAAGCTGTAAAATAGAGCGGGCCGTTCGGTACTGCAGCGTCCCGATGCTGCTGCTGCTGCTGCTGCTGCTGCTCGTAAAGGGGCAGTGTCGCTGGGTCGGCAGCCAGAAAGCGGACGCCTGAGACGGACACAGTGCTGCAGACAGCACAGCATCCGGAGTTGCTGCTGCTGCTCGTGCTGCTGCTCCTGCTGTCTCTCCTGCTGCTGCAGTCCACAGCAAGTCTGCTGCCGTTTGAGGCTCCCAGCCTGCTGTTGGCTGCCTCTGGCTTTGCTGCTGTGTGCTGCCATCAGCAACAGCAGCAGTAGCTGCCGCAGCGCACGCAGCTCGAGCAGCAGCAGCAGAGCGGAGGAGCTGAGGCAGCTGCTCTGCTGCTGCACTGCAGACAGCAGCAGCAAGTATTCGGCTGGCGAGGCGTGGGGCCTGCTGCTGCACCAAATCTGTTGCGACTCCTTCCCCTAAGGAAGCCAGCAGAGGCCGCCGTGTACTCTCCTGAAGTTCGCTTGCTGCTGCTGCTGCTGCTGTTGCTGCTGCTGCTATCCTCTTGGCAGCAGCATCTGTTGCTGCCTCTCCTGGTGTGTCTGCTGCTGCCCGCAGCCGTTTGTTGGCAGCATCGTCTCTGTCTCCAGCACTTTCCCGTTTCCTGCCCTCTTCTCTTCCACCTGCAGCTCGTGTTGCTGCTGCTGCTGCTGCTGCAGTGCTTTGTTTGAGCTCTGCAGCCAGCAGCGTTGCAGCAACAGTGGTTGCTTCTCGCCGCTCGCCAAGGGCTCTGTAGGCAAAGCCCCTTGCAGTGTCTATGAGCTGCTGCTGCTCTTGAGGCTCTAAAGCCAGCAGCTTTCCCAGCTGCTGCATCTTATCGTGCTGCTGCAGCGCCAGCAGCGGCTGCTTCTGCAGCAGCGTGCAAAGCAGCTGCTTCCTGCCCTGTGGGGTTCGCAGCTGCTGCCGCAGCACGGAGGGCTGCGACAGCTGCCGTATGGCAGAAGCGGCTTCCGCCGCAGCCGTTGCTGCTGCTGCTGCTGCTGTTGGTGCTGTTTGCTGCGCTGCTGCTGCTGCTGCTGGGTGAGATAGCGCGCAGTCTGACTCCCCACTGACTTGGTCTTCGCGGTCGCTGTCGCCGCTTGACAGCAGCACATTGAGAGCAGCACCTCTCGCGCGGCTGATAGCTGCCTCTGCTGCTGCTGCTGCTGCTGCTGCAGCGGAGGCAGCAGCAGCAGACGCCGCACTCAGCGCCGAGAGGTTAGCCCTTTGTTGGTACTGCTGCAGCTGCAAAATTTCGTACAGCAGAACTGCAATTGAATGAAGCGCTAGTTCATTCTTGATTTCCGTCCTTATGTGCTGCAGCTGGCGCTGCTGCTGCTGTTGCTGCTGCTGTTGCTGCTGCTGTTGCTGTTGCTCTTGAAGAGCGAGCAAGGCAGCGTCAGCAGCTGCTGCTGCCTGCTCCAGTGCAGCAGCAGCAAGAGCCACGTGGGGCCCCACACGGTGTGCTGCTTTGTCCATCAGCGCCTGCGCCGTCTGCAGCAGCAAGAAGCAGCTGCTGCTGGCGAACTCAGCGGTGGCAGTATCTCCAGAGAGCAGCGCAGCTTCCTTCCAGAGCGGCAGCAGCAGCAGCAGCGGGTGCTGCTGCTGCTGCTGCGCGTCTGCCGTCTGTAGCGGCGGCAGCGAAGACAGCAAAGCTGCAAGGAGGCGAAAGAAAGCAGAAAGCTGCAGCGCAACGGCAAGTTTGCGGTGTACGTACACTGCAGCAGAGAACAGGCTGGTCCATTCGGCAGCAGCTTTGTCCCAATTTGCTGCGACTCTGCTGCTGTCCCGGCTGCACGCGCGCTGCTGCTGCCACACCGCGTGCTGCAGCAGCGGCAGCAGCAGACGCTTCGCTGCTTCCTCGCTCACAGCTGCTGCTTGCAAGTCCAGCAAAGTTGCTCCTGCTGCAGGGCCTTTGCCCCAGCCCTTCACGAGCTGCTGCGCTGCTGCTGCAGCTTCGATTCGGTGCAGCAGCAGCGCCACGTCGCTCTGCAGCTGCTCCTCAGGCGGCAGAGAAACGCCCGCTGCAGCTGCAGCAGCAGCAGCTGCTGCTGCTGCAGCTGCTGCTGCTGCCGCCTCTGGGAGGCAAGCCGTCCAAGGGGCCTCCAGCAGCTCGTGCTGCTGCCGCCTCTGCTGCTTCTGCTGCTCCAACGCCTCAAGCAAGATTTCTTTCACATAGTCACCTATAGCAGCAGCAGGAAGAGCTGCATTCTTCCTGTAGGCAGCAGCAAGCGTCAGCCGCAGCAGCAGCTGTGGGCTAGGAAGCAGGCGAGAGCCAGCAGGTAGCTCAGTGCTGCTGCACTTAGCAGCAAACAGCAGCAGCGCCCACGGCAGCAGCCGCAAGGCGCTTGCTTCGGTGCTGGGCTGAGGGCTGCGAAGCAGCTCCGCCTTGATATTTGCTGCTGCTGGTGCTGCTGCTGCTGCTTGCACTGCAGCAGCAGCAGAACAGCGTGAAGCCTGAACAGCCGCTGCAGCAGCAACTGGGTCTGCTGCAGCCACGATAAGACACAGACACAACTCCCGCAGCAAACCCTCTCTGAAGCAGCAATCCAGAGAAACCAGCAGCGCCGCCAGCTCCTCCTTCTCATGTGCTGCTGCTGCTGCTTCTGCGGACGGGGACGCACAGGTAGCCGCAGCAGCAGCAGCAGGTGGCTGGTCTTTCGAAGAGAAAGTAAAGCACTCGAGAGCAGCAAATGGCTCCACAAGAGCGGCGACGGCTGTGGCTGCCACGGTGAATCTTCTGCTGCTGCTGCTGCAGTTGCTGCTGCCGCCCGAGTAGACAGTCTCTGCGGTAGTGTCTGCTACTGATAGTGCTGCTGCTGAATCGGGCTCCTGCAGTTGCTGCTGCGCAGCGACGAGGTGCAGCAGCAGCAACAGCAGTCGCCAGCTGTCAGGTAGCCGCACAAAGCTAAAGAAGTCCTCTGTAGCCTTCTCAAGCAGTGCGAGCTTCTGCTGCTGCTGCTGCTGCCTTTGCCTTGCTGCTGCTGGCCTCCGCAGGATCATGGAGGGGCTGATAGCAGCAGGCAGCTCCTGCTGCTGCTGCAGCTCGCGGCAGCGCAGCTGCAGCAGCTCCAGCAACAAGAACTGACGCAGCAGGCCGTGCACTGCAAGCAGGCGGCGGACCTCCCTGACTCGCAGCCCGTTTAAAGTTTGCTGTTGCTGCTGCTGCTGCAACTGCTGCTGCAGTTCCCGCAGCAAGTTGTGATTCAGACCCCAAGGAGCCTCTGGTCCATTTACTTTCGGCTCTACTGCTGCTGCGGAGAAGGCGGGAGGAGCCGCTGTCGCTGCTGCTGGGGACGGGCTGGTGGGCTGCTGCGGTGCTGCTGTTGCTGCTGCTGCTGCTGGGTGAGAAATTCGCGTTCTGTGCCCAGCCGCCACCACTGCAGCAGAAAGGCTGGCCCCAGCAGCAGCAGCAGCAGCCAGCTGTTGCTGCTGCTTCTGCTGCTCCAGAAGCAGCTGCTGTTGGCGATGGAGCTGCTGCAGTTGCAGCTGGTCTAGCCGCGACCGGGCGAGGGCGTCCTTTGCCTGTTGCTGCTGCTCCCTTGCAGCAGCAGCAGCTGTGGCGAAGGCAGCAGGGAGCGGCTGCTGCAGCAGCTGCAACAGAACAGCTGTGGCAAGAGGCAAGGCACAAAGCTGCAGCAAACCCAGACCCCTCATTATCACTAAGCAGCGCTCGCACGCCCACGCAGCTATTTCTGCAGCAGTTGCTTCGAACCTGCTGCTGCTGCTGCTGCTGCTGCTGCTCACTGCAGTGTCCCGCAGGCGCGGCAGCAAATGAATCATTTGATGCGGCAGCAGAGAGTCTGGCAGCGCGCTGAGGACGGAGGGCCAGAAGGCCTGCAGCTCGGGGTGCTGCTGCAGCAGCAGCTCCACAGCAAGAGTCTGGCCATGAGCAGCAAAAATGCGGGCTAACTGCAGCACGAAGGAAACTTCCCCAGCAGCATCAGCAGCAGATGGACTCCTCAAAAGCACGTCTAACGCCTGCTGCAGCTGCTGCAGCAGCAGCATGTTGACTTCCCTCGATATTGCTGCATCCCCCTCGAGAGATTCCCGTTGCTCTTGTTGTCGCTGTTGCTGCTGCTGTTGTTGCTGCTTCAGCGACAGTGGGCAGTTGCCTTCGGCGCGAGAAGACGACCCTGCTGCTGCTGCTGTTGCTTCTGCTGCTGCCACAGGCGCTTCGCACGGAAAGCTCTGAAGGCCAAGAAGCCTTCCTGCTGCTTCCGACAGGGCCAGCAACACCTCGCAGCGCCGCAGCCGCTCAGCAGCAGCAGCAGCCTGCAGATGCGTCACATGCGCACGAGACCGGTAACAGCAACTCCATCACAAGATCTGTCTAAGAGACTCAAGTGTAAGAAGCCTTGCTAAGGGCCTGGTGCACTAGAAAGCCACAGCAGCAGCAGCAGCAGCATAGCAGGTAGAGAAGCCTAGCCTTGAAACTTTACTGCTGCTGCTGCTGCTGCTGCTGCTGCTG